CTCTCGGGAGACCGATGTTTTCCACCCCGTTCTCCCCTCCCGCAGCTCGGTGCATCTCTGTCTGATCGTGGCTTCTGTCTGCTGCTCGGGCTGACGGCTTGTGGAGCTCTTGGAAGGAAACCTTTCCACCCGGTTCTCCCCAGCGGCAGCTCTGCGCATCTCAGATCGCAGCGGCGCTTGTCTGCTATGTGGCTGCCGGCTCTCGGAGACCTCTGTGTTCCACCCAGTTTTACCCGGCGGTCAGCCCGGCGTATCTCTGACTCAGAAGCTCTGGTGTTGTGCACAGTTAACTCCGGTTGTAGCTAGGTTGCTACCTCTTTTAGCTTAGCTCCCACCTCCGCGTTAGCTTTGGGTTAGCTTCAGGTTAGCTTTTAGCTAGTTCGACCGGGTGTCGTCAGTTGATCCCAGCCTTACAGCCCCACCTCTCTTCCCTTTTGTGGAATTGTCTGGACTTGACGGGAACCTGTGACACGGTCAAAATGGTGGTGCTACCTCCCATTTGGCCTCAAAAACGTGAGATTGGAGCCTATGGAAACCCATTGTCCAATATTTATATGCCGATGGCAGAGACAGACATGCTGCTGCAGCTTCTCTGCCCCCTCAACTGCAGGTTCTGCTCCCTCAGTTGCTGAGTGCTCGCGCGGCTGTGGGGAACTGTATTTTATTTAATTTATAACATAGTAACTTTGCAAAATAAAAAAAGAATGAATGCAACTTACAATACTTAAATGAAAAGGAGCAAATAGATATATGTAATCTGCCCCATTCACACCCTCAGCACAAAATAAAAATATACTCACTAACAAAAATTACTAAGACAGCTGCCAAGCAGTTTGCTACTAATTAACTAACAATCCTTGAATGGAGTTTCAACACCTTAGTTAGAAATCATTGCTGATCAATACAGAAAAAACAAAATTAAAATAGAAAGCACCCAAAATTATTCCATATGATTTCTTAACATATAGTTTTTTACATTCTGTTTAAACATAATTGATTTGGCCTCTTTCATTACGTATTCCAGACTGTACCATATCCCGACTCCATATACAGAAACACAGCGCTCCAACTTTTTAGTCCTAAAACTAGGTTTTTTAAAAATATCTCGTACCCTTTTAAATCGTAGCAACTTGGTCTTTTTTCAAATTTCATTTGAATATTTATTGGTAAGGATTTTTTGTGAGCTTTAAACATCAATTTTAATATGTTATGATCCACTAAATCTGGAAACTTTAATACTCTTAACTCAGCAAATAATGGACCGGACGGTGCTCTATAACTACTCTGAGTGATGATTCTTATGGCTCTTTTTTGTAGTAACAAAAGTGAGTGTGTATGAGTTTTATATATTGTTCCCCAGAGTTCAATACAATAAGTCATATATGGTACAATCAAGGAATTATATACTTGAAGAAATCCTTTTTTATTTAAAAATATTTTATTTTATGCAGTAAACCAATTGCTCTTGCTATTTTTGTTTTTACACCATTAACATGTGGCTTCCATGTAATATCTTCGTCGATAATGACCCCTAGAAACGTAATTTCCTCCACTTTTTCAATTTTTTAATCTTCTGTAACTAATGACATGTTACTATTTGCTCCTCTTGTTCCAAATACCATAAACCGAGTTTTCTCAAGATTCAGGGATAGTTTATTGACATTAAACCACAGTTTCAGTTTTCTAGCTCTGACTGAATTACTTCTCTCATATGTTCTAGATTGTCACCTGCACAAAAGAAGGTTGTGTCATCAGCAAATGAAATGCAATTCAACAATTTAGATACACTTGTGATATCATTAATATATATGTTAAACAGTTTAGGGCCTAAAACATAAAAAAAGTATAATTCAAATCAAATAGCACCTCAGCTCAAACCTGGCAGAGTCTGTTTTGTCTTGGCACCTAAAATACCTTGATACAGCCCTGGGACTGAGTGTTGACGGTGATCTGAATTGTATCATATATAAATATTACATTTAGTTATTGCTTTGTAAAAGTAAAAAAACAGTGGTGGGGTAAATCTACTTTCACTTTGTTTTGTTTTCTTATTCTTTATTTAACAATTTTCCTGTCCTCTCTGTCGCTTGTCTTCCTGCATCAGACCTCCAGAAAAGCTGCTGACCTACTTTTTCACCTCATGAGTTACTTTTGAACAAAGCACATCAAAGGGACTACTGAGTGCTGCGCCAGTGTGGTGAAGTCACCGGAGCACGGGTGATGAGATCCACAGCAGCGGAGCGCGTCAGGCACCAATAAAAGACAGAAAGTACCAGAGAATACGAGCGGACACGAACGATCATGTGTTAATTAACGGCATACATTTTGCACAGGACACAGCTGCCTGGAGTGCATGAATAATCAGCACTCTGCCGCTCTCTGCTTCTCCGCTTAAAAGAACCCCCAGCCGCAATGCTGAGACTCCATAGAAATAATGTAACAAAAGGAGAAACAGGATCTTTTTTCGGGCTCCCTCTGAGTGTGTAAGTTGAGGGCTTCTTGGGAACCCCTTAATCCTTTCAGAAGAACCTGGTGCCCCTTAGCTCCCCTGTAATTCGAACCCTGTATCCAAATCTGGATTGGGAGGTAACATCAGATTTCGATCGAGCCTGAAACCAGGTGATTAGTACCGATTTCCAATCAAGTGATCGGATCTGGACATCCCTAACGTGCCCATTTGTGGCCCGCTGGAGGTCATCTTGCAATTAATATAGTGGTTCTCTCACATTTATTTAAAAGCCTCCACCAATAACAGCGCTCGGATCAAGAGCTACTATTGGACCATCCGTTTGTTCGTCTCACTGAGTCGTCACACTTTCGCCCTTCCCAGTGCCTCCACTCATTAGCACCAGCTTATTTAGCAACAGAACACCACTGGTGTGAGAGGTCCTTGACTCAATAGAGAAGCTGCTACCACTTCAACTTTAGTACAAACTACCAGAGTCCCGAACAAAAAATCACCAATTGAAGTCACAGACAACAGAAGACATTTGGACCTAGAAAACGGTGACTGCCAGGCAATGAGCGAAACTAGGAAAGACACCCACGGGGAGGGGTGAGTGGCCCGTGACTGTTTGCGTTCAAAACATAACTTGTTTTGTAGATGCACTATAGACCCATTGAAAGTTACTGTTTACATCTGGGTAACTGCGCACATCCACACATGCTGGAGGACAAGAACGTGTCTCCAGCCGTGATCCAGAGCTGTATCTCTGCAATTTAAGCTAACAAAATTAAACCTACGGCTTTAGATGCCACTACTTTAGATAATCTAATACATCTTTGTGCAGACGAACAGAAAAAATAAACATTTTAAAGCTAACAGTGTTTTGCACCAAGCTTCCAGATCCACGTTTGAAATAGCTAGTGAGCTGTGGGCCAACAATCCTCAGAACCGGCCGTCTGGGCCTCTCACAGCTGAACCGAAGGTGTAACCGGATCTCTTCTACGTTTTGTAGGTTAATGCCGAACGATCGCCGTGACACTGCTCGTCTTTAGAGATTAACGGCTGCTCTGTTTATTCTGATGAGCAACGTAAACAGAAACACAAAAAACAACAATAGCGCCTGTCTACTCCAATTACACAACCCATTTTAACCCTAACCCTAACCCATTTTAGTGTAATTATTAGGCGGTTACCGCGGGTTACACACAGAACTACACACCACACTGGCGTGTCTCTTTCTCACACGTTTATTTCTCAGGTCTGATCAGCAGCACTAGGCTCGGTCGGTCGCATGTCCTTGTACTCGTGGTCGCGCATAATAAAAGCATATGTCATTAGATGGCGGTAACTTGTTTGTTTCTGATCATGTGAGGCAGACATTTTACTTTTTCATTCTGCCCTGAGACTTTGTCTACCACGATGTGGGTGTTTTATCCACTAGAACTGGCCGTTAACCACTGCCGTCAGCATATTTTATCAGCTGGAAACCAGTAAAATGTAACTTTACTGTCCTTACATGTGCAGCCTACAGCTCTATGTGTGTTAACCATGCTGATCGATTTCATTTCACCGCTATTTAGCTCCGTTTACTGACAACTAACAGATAAACAATGATGGTCAGCGAGGAGGTGCCGGCTTTTCACCCTCCAGCTGGGTGCTGGGGGTGGGGGTGTGGGGGGGTGACGTCAGGCTTCAGTGGGACTATAGCAGCTTTAAGAGTTGTTGTTTGAAGTTTAGTCTCGTTTTGTCTGAAATGCTGAATCAATCAGGCGCTCGCTGATTCACAGACACGTTTTCATTTGAAAGACTTGACGTAACTTTGAGTCTTTGAGGCAGAAATACGTGGTTGTAAGAGCAGCTGTGAGAATCCCAGCTTCCCTCTGCTTTTATCACATCAGATGAGGACAGAGTTGTTGACGTCATGCCTCACACTGAGCTATGGGAAATAGGTGCTCCTTTACTACCAACAACAGAGCAGTCTTCTGTCTCACCTTCTCACAGCAGAGGTGGACGCTTTCCAACAGAGTGGAAAATCACACAAGAGGCTCTTTGTACAGTGTGAGAGGAGTTTGTTCCTCCTACTTTAAGCCTCTCCAGATGTTTTCCTAACAGACGTGCAGATAGACTCTGGTGTGTGAGGGACAAGCAGCTTGTTGAGCTGGGGACAAAACCTATAAATGAATTCTCTCTAGTGCCTCCTTCTGGTCAACATTTGAATCTAATCAACATTTTCTTATAAAAGAGTTTCTAGCTTGAGCAAATATTACATGATGGAGTTTGATGATGTCATCGTCTGTCACATGGGCTCTTCAAGCCCAATGGTACACTGAGAGCAGTTGGGATGGATCTGGGACTGAAACATGCAGAAACATGCAATCAGACTCAGAACTAAACAAAAACATCATAAGCAAAACGATGATTTCCCATCTGATCAGATGGTGGTTTGGAAAATGCTGCAGTGCCTTGGCTGTTGTTCTTGCCTCTCTCGGCCTGTCAATTAGTGATAATGGACCCCATCAGCCCAGAGAAAACCACTCCCTCTCCCTCCCTCCCTCCTTCTCACAAACACACTTTCTCTCCCTCCATCTGTCTCTTTTTCCACGTCTCAGTCAGTAGTAATGGAGCCCGGCAGTCCAAAGAAGATCCAGTTTGCTGTGCCTCCGCTGCAGGGGCAGCTGGACCCACAGGCCGCTGAACATGTGAGTGTTTTACAGTTTCAGATGTTTGGAGTGAAGCGGGAGGCTGAGTGAGTCTTCTGAGTCTTGTCTGGAATTTTCTGTGTGGGAATGGAGCAGCATGCACGCAGGAATCAGAGCTCTGCACACTGACTTTTGTGTATTTAAACATCAGTGGGGGAACTTTTGTTGCAGTTTATTTTTTTATTTTTGCAAATAATTAAAAAATTTCCATGAGAATTAAAGAAATTGCTTCCCTTCCAGGTTCACAACCTCTCTTGTTTTC